CGCACACATTTAAGTTGCCTGTCAAAGTATACATCAACTCCCCCTCCTTCCTCATTATCCTTGTCTCTCCTGACCAGAACCACGTCACCTATACTGATTTCGTTGTCGGTGATAGTGGGGGGTTAGCGACGTTTCAGTGAGAATGATTATTTTAAGTAGTAGGTCAACCTCACATTGCTACGTAGGCAGCTGACAGTGAGTCTCACCGCCTCATCTGTTTCCTCTGTGTTCACTTGAAGTCCTGTCTTTGCTGGCTTCTTCTCCTGCATACTTGTTGGCTTTCGTCTGCAAGTTTTCGAGCTTGTTTAGCATTGGATATAAATCATCCAAAGAATTCAGGTCAGTAGTTTTCTTTTCGGTCTAGCGTATTCTTGCGTTCTCACTCATCATAGTTTGGCACACAAGCCAGTCTATTAGAATTAAGAATATACTAGCAGTAGATAATTCCCCAGAGTTATTGGCCAGAGCATTCATCACTGAACATTGGATGCTGACCCTCGGTCTTTTAATGGACCTATTTAGCTGGAGACTTCCGGTCAAGCATCCACGCTATTTGCGACGTCATCGTGTCACGTTCGTTTGTGCACAACCCCTGGCTGGTTAAGCAATCATTTAGCACCCCAATCTCGTCCCGAAATATAGTTCACATTTTGGAAGATCAATTCTGGTGTTTTGTTTTGCCTTTAGGACGAATTCTACAGAAGTTGTGGGTGTTAGATCTTGCGTTAGTATGCTTCGTACTATCCGTTAACGTCAACATCCTCAGCCTCTAATATATCATTGGTGATTGCAAGAAGCCTTGTCTCACTCCCACTTTGATGTCGGAGGCTTCGCTGAGTTCTCTCTCGTGGATTACCTGACATGTGGCATTGTCATATAGCTGTTGAATGGAGTTGGGACACATCTGGAGTGCTGCACGCCATAATGTTGAAGTAGTTTCCAAATTACTTCTCAGTCAACCCTGTCGAAGGCTTTCCCGAAGTCAATAAGTTGTTGAGGTAGAGGTTTGACTTCCCTTTTATGCCCTGTTCGATGGTGATTAGAGTTGAAATTTGATCAGCAAATGATTTGCTCTTCCTGAATTTAGCTTGTTCAGATTGAAGTTCCATATCTAGTGCGTCTTCTGGCCAGCCCAGGATGATGTGAGACGATGTATTTCTTAACGTGCACAAAGCATGATTCTGCGCCAACGCCTACATATGCCCAAGTCATCACTTTTTGGAGTTTCTCAAGGTGGCCTTCCTTCCAGTCAGTAGGCGCTTTGCTTTCCTTCAAATTATCCTGCAATAGTGGCGTGAAGATATCCCCTGCAGACTCTTCGTTTGTTTTCACTGCTTCAGCACGAATTCCATGTTATCTTGCTGTCTTTACGGACTTCAGTAGCCTGATTTCATCCTAAACTTCTGCTTTTGTTGGAGGATTGGTGTACACTGGCAATTCTGTTCCTGCTGTTGGTGGTACTTCTGGACGATTTGGAAGTGATGTTCAGATCCGGAGTCCTCTTAATGATCTGCTTACTATTTTATTTATCCCTCCTATGTGGTAATCAGGCTTCCTTGACCATCTTTTATTGGTTTCATCTGCGTTTACCTTTACGTGGATACAGATACTTCGATAATACACCTATATTTTTTATATCCTCAAGACTTATATCCGGAAATTGTGAAAATTCTTGTTTCTGCAATGGTTAAGTCTACCAAACTGTTAAGTACCGTTAAGAGACTGAGGTCTAATTCTCGTCGACCATCTGAAGGCCCCAGCTCCGTTGACGATTCCACACTACTTACACCAGAAACACTTAGAGTTATGGTATCTGATGTCATGGGGGAACTGACGGAGAATGCGGCTTGTAGCAAAAATGATTTACTGACAATTCAGAAGTCAGTAGCAGACATACAGAACAAGTTTGACAGCATTATGCCCCTCAAGCAACTGTGTGACCGATCACGAAACATCTGTCTAGAACCAATCAACAAATCTGGGCGTATAATTGACTATTTGGCTGAAGAAGCTATTAAGAAGATTACATCTTCACACAACGTCTTGGCCTGTAACGTTTCAGACAGAGAGCCTATTGCTAAACTTAGAACTTCATGTCTAAAGGCTAGTAATATGTCGCTGACAGAATGTCAGGTTTCGCGTCTTCGTAGGAAATCTGCAAACCACTCATGTCCGGTGCTTTTCAAGTTCAGGCCTATTGAAGAATCCAGGATATTTCTGAAATCTAGTAAGATAATGAGCTCTTAAACACCCTATACTAACATTAGGAATGCACCTGATTTAACATCATAGCAAAGACGATTCCGCTCAGGAACACTGAATGCTAATAACTCCAATGAGGCAACCGTAGATGATGTTCCATGCGTTATTCCGTCTAGTGAAATACCTGGTGACCGCATGCATCAGACATTTTCGCAGGCGCAGACAAATATTAGCCAAGTATTTTATAACGACACTGAAATGTTGGGTATAGATGAGCCCACAGAACATGATGTTGAAATACATAGCTTGAATACTGACACAAACGTCAAGAGCCAGAAAACATCAAAACTCATGAAACTGGTGTTCCACCCATCCCCTTATAAATCAGTTAATCCTCGATCTGACAATCCGTCCACTGTGAAGTACCAGTCGAATGTAGCTACCCAAGTTAGCAAGTTTTCTAGGCGTTATGACAAACTTCCCATTTCCATTAAGAAAACTAAAGCGCATGAGGTGTCCAAGCCACAGAAACCCTACATAGCATGTGCTGTGTGCCCTGTTAGCCATCATCAACCAGTTGATCATAAAAAAGGGGGAAAAGAAGTAAATAAATTGAATACTAAAGCCAGAGCAAGAAAGCCCTTTGATATGACAGAGACGAAAGCACCTCTAAGCCATTTTTCTAAGAGAAAGTTAAATATGCTAGGCCGAGCTCCTAGAGGTAGGCTTAATTGGTGTCCAGTGGAAGGCCAATTATATCCAACCACTAATTCTAGACAAACAGTACAGCAAGGTAGTAGGTATTATTCTGCTCATCCACTGGGTAAACCCCTTGTTAGTCAGCCCCTTTCTAATGTTTTATCAACTAAAAGCTACAGAAAATCCCCCAAACATCGGCCAGAGACTACATTCAGAGAGCCAAATAAGACAAAAGGACAAACTCTTACATCGTTTGTATCATCTAGTAGGGAGCATGTGCCGATGTCTGTACAAAACTTGCTATGTTCTGATGACTGCGCGAAACAGATGCCAACACTTCATTCTTACACTGAAAACAAATTACCGAATACTCATATCGACTACAACCTTCACAACAACAATGCCCCTTTCAGCCGCTTCGGACAGTATTTTCACAGGACAGGGGGTAGTCAAGCAGCTTAGTAAGTAAACATATCAGATTTCTCTATAGCACTTCCTTGACAGCAGTGATAATATTAATACTGTGTATAATGTCATCCGTACGTGCCTGTGGTTCAGCGGTAGGAGGCTCCCCAACCATTTACGTATTCATGTGTTCAGTTTCCGGCCGGCGGGAACCTTCACTTCCCTTAGCCACTTGTAAGTCCGAAAAGGAGAGAAGGTTGAATGTGAGGCTTGCTCAGACTTGAAGCGATATGTCCCACATGGAATGCAAAGGAATAAAATTTGAAAAAAAGATGAATAAAATAATTCCGAGAGAGTAAAAGACGTACCGGAAACAGAACCCTGACCACAACAAGCTGGTTTCGGGAAGAGCAAATCATATACAGATCGAATTGCGACTCTACACATCATCATCGAGCAAAGCATAGAATGGCAGTCAAACATCTACTTCACTTTCATCAACTTTAGAAAGACCTGTAACAGAGTTGACTGCGAAGTAAATTGAAAACTAATTCAACAATAGGGGGTGCCCCAAATCTTCATCAACCTCATCTAACAATTATATGAGAATGGCATATGTCAAGTGGTCCACAACTGAAAGCTCAGTGAGTCGTTTGCAGTGAATACGCGAGGAAGACAAAGGTGCTTATTATGATCGATTATGTTCCTCTTTGTGTTGAACTGGATTGTGCGGAACGCTGTGCATGGGGAGCGAGGAGACAGGAATACGCTCTACCACCAATAAGAAGACTCTATAAATTCAGAATTTCGCAAATGATATATGTCTCATGACTTACAGGCGAAAGCCGAAGAACTGGCAGAAGAGGCTTTCAGTGAAGACAGGGCTGTAGTTGAACATCAAGAAGCCGGAAGTGATGAAGATAATCAACCAATAGCAGCAAAAATAGCATCAATCACCATCAAAGGGAAATATTTGATAGAGGTTACTTCCATATTAGTTTGTTTATTAGATATATCGAACAGTGAGTGAAACGGCATTATTTACTGGATGACGAAGTTTGCAACACAATTTATTACTCTTCATAATCATTTCGCCACTTATAATCACACTACTTCGAAACTTGAGTTTTATAGTTCTCTTCGTTCTCTCCTATCTGTCCTATGGGTAGTAGGATTATCCAGATATGTGGGACAAATGCTGAGTCATTTCTGTTCCACGTGTTTGCAGTGGATTCGATAAACAAAGCTTCTGTTATCAATCTCTCCCTCCACTCTTTTACATTGGATTACAAAACTGACATCTTATCCTATCCATCCTATTGTATTATTATTAGTAGTAGTATTGTTTCGTTTAGTTCCTAGAGGAACAAAAATTCTCAGCCGAACTTCTCCACTGCGTTCGGTCCTCTGCCGACGTTTCCATCTGCCTACAAATCCGGCCACATGATTCATCTCCTCTTCACATGACTTCCTCCAAGTCACTCTCGGGCGGATAACTCGCCGCTTCGCGTTCGGGTTCTATCTACTTGAGAGCCTGTCTAGGGATTTCCCTTGATGCTTTCCTCAGAGTATGATCCTATTGTATGGTTGTGTGTAATTGCGTGTAGTGCAATAGCTGAACTATTCTCTAGATTCCTTATCTTATGACTTAAGTGTAGCTGTACTACTCACAGAAATAAACGTTTCTGCATGTAGTTCTCATGAGTTTATTTATACTCACGGTAGAAAATGCTACAGCGTAACCGGTTTTATAATAAATTGTCACACAGTTCATTTACACGCTGTAGTCACAAACAGTTATAAACAGTAGTTATTATTAGTGATCCATAATTATTCTTTGAAAATGCATCAAAGGTGTCAAAAATTATGAAATATTTTTTCTTTTTCTTTGAAAGGAACTTAACGAATACAACAACATGTAAAATTTCGACTATTTTATTCTTGAAGCACGATAGGTTGACATCTGTTTAACTGGAATTGAAGTCAGCTTAGAAGCACTTGATGGCTTGGCAAATTTATCACCGAACTTTCCATGATAATCCATGGGTTCCAGCTTTGTTAATTTGACACGCCCACTGCTGTTACCGACTCCACTGCTAGAATCATGAAGGCGTGTTGGCTTAATTTTTCTGTCGGTGTTTCCACTGACTGTTCTAGATGAATTTGTTTGACGCTCTGTATTTTGTACAATATCTCGACCAGAATTTTTCATTCTGTCAATATTTTCTAGTTTACTCGACCAGTAGTTGTTGTTATCATGAAATTTTTGTGATATCTAGATGAAATTTCAGTAAAATTAAACAGAAGAGTAAAACTTTTAAGTGGAATTTTTCAAGGAAACCAAGAGTGAAAATTGTACTTTGTCAGAGGAAACATAAATGCGTTTTTTATTGATTTCATGAGAACTAAGAAACACAGAATAATGTGAGTAAAATTTCCGTTGTTTGAAAGAAGGAAAATAAGGTAGACCGACTACATTTTGGACCAATTTTAGATTTTTTAGACAGTAGCACCGAATCAATTGCCTAGTGGGATTTACGAAATTCAAATAAACAGCCTAGTTTTAATCAGTTTAGAGTCATTAAACTAACAAATTTAGAATAGTGTAAGTTATACTTGTTTGAATAGGACTGAATATACGTGTAAACAGTTTCCTGCGCAATGTTTACCTAAACTGGACTCTCAGCCAACTGATGGCGATCCATCTAGCATGGTTGTCATATTGCAGACTTGACTGATAGGATGCTGTCGGCACCGAACAGAGGACCAGACGCATGACGCTAGTTACTACCGAGTGTCTGATCAAAGATATTCTTCGTAAACATTCCCACTGACTACAGTTCAGGCCAAGCGGAGCACGAATCCAACCAGAGGCTATGCAACATACTACACAAAGTAAAGCACTCACATGTCGCCATGTCATCAGTCGATTTCAGTGTTCAAGTAGGGAAATCAAGTCATTCGGAAAATTCCACACAAGATATCTACGAAATCTCATGTCAGCGAACTGACCGACAGCTGGAGGTAGTGTGTTTTTCACCCAAATAAGTCTGACTCAAAACACGTCATGTGTGAAACCACACACAAGCAACTGTCTTTTCGACTACACACTTATGTGGAGTGACACTCAATTAGAAAACATCAGTTACTCTAGTACGACTCAACCATCAAACACCTCAACGACTATCAATAACGACCAGTACACTGAAGGCGCCCCCATACCTACTTCTCAAATTAATTCCACTTTGCATTCTGTCGTATTGCCTCCTCAATGTTCCTCCTGTCACTCCACTACTGAATCTACACCACATTCAATTACTTCGAATCAGACCTCCAGTGTATGGAGACGATGACTTCATGTTTAGGTATAGCTGTGGTTCATAGTTTGGCGGATGAAAATTGTTCTGGATAACTGACCTTCGACTAGCTTATTATTCTCAACTGCATCTTATATGTCCAGGTTGATGAATTCACACATTTCACATCCCGAATAGCTGAAAGCCAGTCGTTTTGGTGTTATATTTCTCGACACTTTTAAATGTATTCTATTCTATTGCTGAAGAAACATTGAGAAGTGAGTATTTTGCTAGTAATTTGTAGTCCTTTCGGAGATAAGATGATCAGAAATGCGGGAATTATTTTACTTCGCTTTCAAACGTTTTCTAATTACACCCTACCTTGCCTCTATCTGAACAAGTCCTTTCGAGTGTATATTCATTCGACTTTGTTAGAGTTATTTCTCTTTTACTTCTTTAAGTTCCCAGTGAAACGTGAGACTTCAAGCTAGAGGACTGAAATTTCGGTAGCTTTTCGGTGTTTTATGTTTTACGAGGTTGCTAGCTTCATCAAGTCCAACCTTCCCTCTTTACCAGTCTTATTACTGGCTTAGTGAGGTAAAAGAATGATTACGTCAGCCGGGGATCAAATCTCAGACCATATGCATAGTCCGCGTGTCTTCTACAACAATGTCACGTCATTTACACCTGAATTCTTCTCTGTCACGCAAATTTGTCAGCTAATAAACAGCCAGCACGTTTCTTTTCGGATTATATGATGGTAAGCATGTGGTTGCTGTAGGTCACTTGGATATTTGATCTCTTCCGCTTTGATGATGATGCGATTTTCCTAGTTTCTACCATTTTTATGGTCAGTACCCTTAAAATTATCGGGTAACTTTCTCTAAACATGGTTTACCCAATATCAGAAGAGAAGTTTATGAATTTTTTCATGCACTGTGTGAATCCAAGCAGTCGGTGAAATCAGTATGAAACTTAAAATTATTGGTTATGGATTCATGTAGAGATCTTCATCATATACATCATCACATTTGCATTCTTTAAAGTATAACAGAGAAAAATATATTAGGCGTCAGTAGGAGGTTGGATTTATATTGTAAGTGTTAGATGGTTGGCGGCAATCGGCAGAATGCCCTACGTGACCTCGTTTTCGTGCTAGTTGGCAATCACCAGTCCGTCAGCTAGGCGTATCTGCAATCTTGAAAGAACTCATATCCCTTCTCAGATTCGAACCAGCATCATCTAGTGCTACCAGCAGTCAGAGACGTCACCAGTGAGCTATTTGGGCTCACGATTGACCTCCTGTATGACTGTAGTCGGTACTTTGATTGGACACTAGTAACTGATGTGACGTGTCTAGTCCTTTCTTTGGTGCAGAATGAATTCTATCAGTCAGGTTTGCATTGTGGCCACCATTCTAGATTGTCGTACTTTATTGCTTTTGTTGCAAGAAAGGAACACTAACTCCATGTCTATCGGCTTTTGATATAAAAGAAAAGTATGTTCTTTCTTGACTTTTTCATACATCTATTAGATATATTAAATTTCCAGTACATGTGGAAGATTAGAATCGCTCTGTTCCATTTATTAACTTCTGGACTTTAGGGAAAATGATGACAGCTTTAATTGGGGAATTTCTTTTATAAACTCACTTAAAAGTTCTTGATACTGTATGTAGCATAACCAGTTTACATCGCCTCTGGCTTAGTAGACGTGATGTCCGGCTGGCTGAATGGCTGGCTAGCTGTCGACCAAGAGACGTGTGTACTGCTCAGAAGAAGTTCGCTCTGTCCTCCTTTATGGTTGACTGTGAGTCACTAGTGACCATTCAGAGTGGAAGACATGAAAAGCCTAGCTAGCTGTCTTTGATCATAGGTGTCTGAGTTCTCTCTCCCGTGTTAGTTGATAGCGGTAATAGAATGAGTAATATTGAGGTTAGGCATCAGTGGAGTGCTAGGTAAGGAGGGGAAATCAACAATAGACGAGGTTGTAAAGTTACACTGATTGAGATGGTTAGGACACGTGTTACGGATGCATTCCTAGCCATCCATTGCCTTCCTAGACCACGCTCAATGTTAGCTGATATGAGATCGATGAGTTTGGAAAGGAGCTAACAAGCCAAAACATGGTTCCTTCAGTCAGTAAAATCCACAACAGTTAGTTTAAGCCATGCATATAGGAAGATGTAGACCTCGTGGTTGGTGTCCTCGGGACGGTAAACACCGATGTCTGGAGACAATTATGATTATGGTTCGAAATCTGTTTTTACTTTCTTCCCTTGCTTTGTGTGTCCTAAGTGAAGTGTGGCGACCCGAACTGCTGCACATCGGTGCAAAGTTCTATGTTGAAAATAGAGAGACAGACAGATGAAGCATAACATGGTGAATAAGTAGAACATGGAAACGTGTTATACTCTAATTGTAATCCTTACCGATTCAATTCTTTCAAGCCAAACCGTTTTTGATTCTTGTTCAACTATACTTTCATCACCATACTCAGGGTATTCATCAGTTTCATCGAAGAATTCTACCTGAAACATAGAGAAACGACGTTGTGGTAAATGATAAGATGCTCGAAAACTGTAAGAAGTGTTATATAGTAAATCAAAGCCATCTTTGATCCAAGTTACTAATATGAGAGGGTCTGGTTAGTTCCTAGCCTAATCACTAGCAGTAAAAAAAGTAATATACCCTAACGCTGAATAGGTTTTAATTGTTAACATAGACTGAAAGCTGAAGCTGAAAAAGACCTGTTAATTTGAAGCTTTCTTTTGCCCTTTTTTAACAATACCGCTGGATTGTCTGAATAGATTGAGATTTCGCTTCAATGCAAAAATTGTTCAAAATTGAATTAATCGGATTACAAGAGAATGGTTAGTGAAAAAAGAATATTCTTTCCAATAACCCACCCTTAATCGTGTTCTACAGTTATATATCCATGCATAATAGTGAATGAATGAATTAGTGTTATTAACAACATTAGTGTTGTCGTTTGAATAACATCGAATCAATCATAATATCAGTGGATTACAGTTCAATAGCATCAAGATAACAATACACACTGAATATCGGAAAATTAGGAAAGATAATAATACATATTCATAATTTGCAATTAATACTGTTCTCTGAGCTGGTTGGTTTAGTTGCGGAGCTTTCGTCGTCCTTCTGGACAGCATTCCCTATCAGCGCAATATTTAGCATAAAGTGAAATGATTTAAATTTCTTCAGGAGTGATATATTTGCGCCTCCCGGTAACCATCTTTACATATGCATTGACAGTTTTCTATTGACTTGGATTTTAAACTTTCTGGTCACCTGATTTACTTTTTATTAGTTGGTACGTTTAGTCTATATTAACGCGTTTGTTGATTGCATTTTCGTTTGAGTACCAGGCTTCTAGGAATTTCCTGGAACTTTTGTTGTTTCCTCTGTTTAAGATTTCGACATTATCCCAATCAAATTGATGTCCGTAATTGTCTATATGCATTGATAGTAAAGAATATATATCGTTTCTTTTCACGGCTGATTTGTGTTCTTGGATTCTAATTCAAAGGGAACGCTCACTTTGGCTGATGTAATGCCTGTTACAGTAAATACAACTTATTTTGTAAATGGTATTAATTTTATCCCCATTTTCTGTTGGACCTTTCAGTTTGCAAAGTATCGAATTAAGCGATTTGACTGGCTTGTGTACTATTATTATTTATTATTATTATATCCTTCAATTCATAGAGGAACATAAAGCTTCAGCCGCCCAAGTCTCCATTGCCTTCTGTTTTCTGACAACTTTTTCACTCCGCTCCAAGTCTGCCCACATGCTTTCATCTCCTCCTCACATGACCTCCTCCAAGTCAACCTACACTTGCATTCACGACCAACTCGCCACCCGCTTCCCTTTCGGCCTGGTTCCACTCGAGCAATGGCTTGTCTAGTGATGTCACTCACTTGATGGTTTCCTCAGCGTATGGCCAGCCAATCCATCTCCATTTCTTCCTGCCTATTTGTTTCACAGTCGGTTCCTGCTGTGATGGTTGGTTCGCTGATTGACAGAGATCCCTCCCTGTTGGTGATATTTTCTGGCCGGCCATCTGATCTTGAGTGGTATTGAGTGAAGATGACTGTTAATGAAGATCTGTAGGTTGTTTGAGATGCTCTTCATGACGCACAGTGCAAGTCTCTGATCCGTATGTTAAGTAGCACTGACTGGCTTCACATTGGAGTTGAAAATCGGGATCTTATTTTTGATGCAGTGTGCTGTTGTTCTCCACACAGACTTAAGAGTAATGAAAGGTTGTCTTGCTTTTCCGATTCTGGCTTTGATATCCTCGTCAGTTCCGTCAGCCTGAAGTTGAAACGATGCTTACCATGTAGGTGGGTGGGTAGGTGAAGGAGGTTGTTTCTTTCAGGTTCCTCCCATTTATGCAGGCTGACTGTCGTCTGTTGTTGTTGTTTCTCTTGGTGTTGGGCAGGAATCCTCATCACCTACATCTGTTTTCTCTATGTTCACTTGAAGTCCTATCCTGTCTGGATGCTTCTTGTGCCAGCTTGTTGCTTTCCACTTGCATATCTTCCAGTTTGTGGGAAATCAGACATATATGCCACATCGGCGAAGTCCACATCCTCCAAGTTCTATTATTGTGTGAGTCCATTTTATGCCTGTTTCCTCATTGGCCGCTAGCTGTCTTTCGCATTATCCAGTCTACTGCAATCAGGAAGATCATTGGCGATAGTAGACAGCCAGCTTGCCTCACTCCCGTCCTCACTTCGAAGGCTTCCGTAAGTTTCCCGTTGTGGATTACTTGGAGGCATGCAGCATTGTCGTACAACTAACTGTTGGATGAGATGTATAATTGTCGATGGGAGCCCTTGGTAGTAGCGAAGTACTTTTCAAAAGACCCCTCGACCGACGCTGTCGAAGGCCTTTTCAAAGTCGATGAAGTTGAGTGAGGTAGAGAGGTGACTGCCATTCCAAGCTTTGTTCAATGATGATCCGTAGTGTGGCGATCCGGCCAATACATGACTTGTTTCTCCTGAATCCAGCTTGTTCCGGTCGGAGTTTTTCATCCAGGTTGGCTTGTTTGATTCTCTCCAGGTTGATGGGGCTTAGTATTTTGCTTGGGATGGACAGGAGCATAATTCCACACCAGTTTTTGCATTGACTTAAGTCTCCTCTATTGGGTAGTTTGAATAGGTATCCTTTTTTCCAATCCTCAGGTACCTTGCTCTCTTTCCACACCTTTTCTAGCAATGGGGTCATAAAGTCCGCTGTTGTCTTTGTTCTGCTGGGATTCCATCTGGTCCTGCTGCTTTTCCAGCTTTTAGCACCTTGATTACATTCAGGACTTCTGATTCGTTGGGGGGTGTCGATGTTCACTGGTAGATCTGCTTCCGTTGTTGGTATTGTTGGGCGCGTTGTAGGTGGCGGACGATTTAGAAGTCTTTTCAAGTTTTCAGCCCAGTGTTTTCTTTGTTCCACCTCTTTGGTGATTGACTTTCCATTGTCATCCTTCACTGACTTAATCTGTGTCGAACTTTTGCCGGAAAGGTGCCTAGTTGTTTGGTAGAGTGTGGCGAGGTCTCCTTTGCCTGTAGCTTGTTCTGCTTCACTTGACATGGCTTCATAATATTTTCTTTTGTCTTCCCTGGCGCTCTTCTTCACTCTTTTGTTCAGCGCATTGTAGCTTGCATTCAACTCCTGTTTTTGTTGCTCGTCGGTGCACTGGATAATCTTTTGTTTCACTATCTCTCTCTCTCTTCTATTAGTTTCCAAGTGTCCATAGTGAGCCACTGTTTGTCCTGCATCTTCTTTCTGCCAAGAACTTCCATGCAGGTTTGACTCCACACCGTTTTCAAGTTGTCTCAGTGCTTTTCGACGCCGATCTCTTCGCTAGTGTTGATTTGTGTCTCAGCTTTGTCCCTGATGTTTGCAATGAAGATGTCCTTTGTAGCCTGGTCCTTCAGTTTTTGAGTGTTGAACTTGGCTTGTGGTCTATCTGCAGCTCCTGTTTCCCTGAAAGCTTTTAATTTGATTTGGATTGTCCCTTGTACGAGGTAGTGGTCTGAGCCAATGTCTGCTCCCCTTCTTACTTTTGTGTCCAGTAGGCTGCGCCTCCACTTCCTTGAGATTGAGATGAAGTCAATTTGGTTTTTGGTTTGCTCATCTGGTGACACCGATGTAGCCTTGTGGATATCTTTGTGTTTGTATACGCTGTCACCAATCACTAGTTCATTGAAGGCGCAGAAGTCGGCGAAGAGTTCTCCATTTTCATTCATCTCTCCGAGAGCTTCTCTACCCATGATAAGTTCCCTTCCTGTGTTGTCTGGTCCCAGTTTGGCGTTCATGTTTCCCATTAGTATTTTAATGTCACCAGCTACTTTATGATTACCACAATTACATGGTGAAATACCCCAATCTCTTATTTTATTTGCTGTCATTCAATATGCTTTATTCGCACTCCTTAGATAAAGTAGTAGAATCGGGTCGCTTATTGAATATAGCTATGACAATAGGTTTTTATGAATTTACCACTTATATGAGTCGGATTTAATCCTTTTACACCGGTTACAGGTATATTTTCGTATAAATGCGTAATTTAAGGCGTAGCGCTCTTATGACTAATCGCACAAGATATAATTCGAGGCTATTTCAGTACATTAGAATATATGTGTTTAAATACTAGTTCACTTTTCATCCTGCCTTTTGAATGACTCAACAACACACCTTAGAGCATCAATCCTTTTTCATAAAATATTCAGAAGATTAATTCAAACAAAAGTTATTAATACTCTGGTTGACATGGTTTCTGAATAACGTCAATGTCTAAAGTATATGATTAAATGGAAAATTTTATCACGGCAATCTATTCAGCTTATATGAACGACTGACTCACTTTGTGTTTATTATTATTATTATTTCCAGTATCAAATTGAAGTGTATTGGAATACTTTATTTTTGGCATAGACAAATACTCATCTTCAACTTTATTTTTATTTAGTACACTTGAATTTAACATTTTACAGGCATTCTCTACTTCCAATCTTAGATACTGATTGGCTTGTTTAAGCGCTTTCACTCTAGCCTCAACTGAATCAGCTGAGTTCTCAGGGCTGTTAATATCACAGTCGGTGAATTTTTCTTCGTCCTGATCCCCAGGTGAGAAATGAGACGTTTTCACTTGTTCTGAAGATTTCGGTCTACTACTGAAAAAAAAGAAAAGAAAATAACATATGTACTGTTAGTATTTAGTAGTTTTTGGGAGGAAATAATTTATTCATAGTAGATTTATTGTTTCGCTGGGGTTTTCTTTTGATCGTGAGTCATTATTGGCTGAAAATCTGCTAAAAATCATAAGCTACTACTGGTTCATTACTGCGGTACTCTCTACTATTTTAGGACTCGTGAGCTAGATAAACCTGATTGTCAGTGAGTTTGTGTGTGTGTGTGTGCCTGTGTTTCCACTGTGACTCAATTCATTTTTTGTGAGACGAATATGAATTAGAATAATTTTTCTATTCTTGCGATGTCCGACCGAAATATTCGTGGATAATCGATGCGTCTCATTTCGGCATATGATCTCCTTGAAAGGTTTATGAAGTGATGAGTGTTAGGTTCATGTATCAGTGGTGATACTCGGCCGAAATGTGTGTCCTGGAATCCACCAGTGACAAAGATTAGACAGATAATCTTACTATTGTTGATATTTAAACGCAGAAAAATTTTGGTGAAATACGGCGCCAAGATGACTTGCTACGCAATAATAATAAAACAACATAGATTAAAAGTAAAAGTGTAGGTGCAGAGAACGGATAAAGAACTTCATCTGGAAGGAAAACAGTCATACTCAACAACTGCAAACAACATCGGTCAATTATCGTCCGAGAGGGAAGAAAGAAGGAAATTGCAGCACGTTCGCCCTTCACTACGATTCTTGGCCATATCTAATAGCGTTCCGAGTCACCGATTGGAGCTATCTGTCGGACTCCAACTGGGAGTTGTGACGCACCAACTGATGATAACCTAGCACAAATACCCTTCATCTCACGCCACACATTTTCAGCTGGGTAAGTCAGGTTTCAGAGGCGTAGAGCAAGACAACCCGCACCGAAGCATTGTGCAATCGACCTCTTACAGACAAGCTAATGTCGCGATGACGCCAGAGGTGGCTCAAGTTGACGTATGCCACCCTTGATTTCATGATACGGTTGGAAATCACATCCGTCATCCCTCCGCCAGCACAAACAGCTATTCAGATACAAAAACTTATCAATAACTTCAAGGGGTTGACCGGCAAGAGTGAGTTCAAGTACAGGCTCTTACCAATCTTGTAACAGTACTTTGCACTTAGACGGCACAAGGCACACACTATACTTACAGATACCCTGCTTACCTTGTGACGAGAGCTGGCTGCAAACAAGCCAAAATTGTAGACAGCAATTTACGTCAATGTTACGTCCCAAATCAGGCTCATGAGAAAAACAATAACAAAGCTTAACTTCGAGAAACACACCAACCAATCTTAGCAGACTCAATGTGTGCAAATACGATTCGGGATATATGACTTAACTTTCTGAGAAATGGTCACAGGCAGTAGAGAATAACCTTCGGCAAGAAAACAACCAATCAGAAGACGCAGCTTCTTCACTGACAGTAATGTACATAAATATCTATAAATACACCTTGATTGTCTCAATAAACAATCTGTTGCCTGGCCCTTGTATTCTGTCGTTACAACCTGACTATATAACACCATTTAAAGAATAGCAATTAGAAGCTGATACATTCTCATTCTTGAACTTTCGGGTGTCAACATAAGACGATGAATAGTAGGTTAGTGTATTAGCTAAAAGCAGTATGGATGGTTAGGTGTTCATTTGTCATTTGTCCTATTTTTGCTTACCATTGATTCAAGAACAACTAAAGGGATATATAACCTGGGAGAACAGGTTTAAGTTAGACGAGGACCTTATATTGATGTTGAAAAGTGTGCTGAAATTACAAGTCCTCTGAAGAGGTCAGTAATAACTTAATGTTTGATAGGATATCTAGATTTGAGACAGAATTCTCCTTCTTTTGACACTTATTCAGTCCTTGAGGTAAGCAAAGTTGACAGCGGTGGTAATATGACCTATTGAATGGTGATAACAAATAAATAACGTTGGTGATTCAGAACTTCCTTGCAACTAATTTATGACATGTTGTAACACCTAGTGCTTGTATACAATTAAACAAAATATTGAAGATTCGGAAATATTTCTGTAGACTTTAATGCACAAAACTGTCTCTCATTTTTGGCTAAAATATTCTAAGTAAACCATATAGTTTTTTCCTGTCTATAATAGAAAAGAATACACTTTTTATACGTTTTAGATAGACCTATTACGACTTATTGGACTTTGCTGAAAAAAAAATTTTCTTCACTGCAACCGTCCTATTTAATTATTTGCATCGATTAAAGATGGTCATTGGAAATTTCAAAAGATTGGACAGCTTCATCATCAGGTATTATGGAATATGTAAAGTTGTAATACTAAATTGAACGTTAATATTACAAAGTAAATGATTATGAATGACAACTAATGTACAGGAATAAAGTCTCATGAGTTATGTTCATATCAACTGCCATTCATATTGATTATAACTACCACAGATGGATGAGTGATCATGTCAAGGACAGGGAGAGATAAAAGGGGTTTTTTGGGGGTTCAAATTTATGTGCGTTTCGTATGTGTGTAAGTTAACAATTACGTTTAAGTAAGAGAACAAAAGGTTAGTTAATGAAACTGTAATGACAAGGGGTAGGGAAATTCATATGTACAGGATGGAGGGCCATAACAGATGGGCTGATCTAAATGATTCGATGTTACTCTTTTTAAAAAAACCACTGGTGTTGTCAATAACAATCATTCTGTCATTATACCTCCCTTGGCCTATTAAGAAATAACCAAATGATGATTTCTACACCACCCCTTTCTTATATTTTCAACCCCTCTCTTATCATTCATTAATCTTATCACATTTTCATTATACACGTGTTTCATTAACTTCCCTTACAATCTCAGTCTAGCATTACTTAATCGGTTCATTTGTTTTTTCTTGGCCTTTATCGACTACTTCGTCTACCTCAAACTTGTTTGTTTAATCATGCTGTTTGTCGTTGTTCTTGTTATCACAGATTGCTTCACTTTTTCATCCTTATGACTGATAAAATTATTATTATTATTAATACAACTGTATAAACTGATGATGGGTCGGTGACATAGCGGTTAGGACGCTCGCCGACCATGGACATGGTCCAGGGTTCGATCACCGGCCGACGAACTCCTTTACCTCGCTAAGCCAGAAATAATGCTGGTAAAGAGGAAATGTTGGGCATGAGGCTAGCAACCCCATCCTGTAAAAATAAAAACACCGCTAAAGAAACTTCAAGTCACTAGCTTGGATCCCTATGTTCCAGTGGGGAACATGAAGAAAAAAAATAACCTGATGATGAAGTTATCGAAAAGAATATTCTTTGTTCACCAATCAATCGTTTGAGACTTAGTCGCCTTGATATTTAACTTGAAGACAGTGTTGTACAGATAGCATATTTTCTAGGTAACAGATGAATCATATTTACAATCTGTCGCAAAGATTACAAACCTTGTCAGCTGAAGCCTTGGCAATGGTATTCTTTCTTTATATTCCATTTTCTCTGTATTTGTACTTGCGTTTGAGCATTTCTGAACAGCTTGAACCCCAGTTGAAACTTTCTTTGCAGTGGAATCAATTTGTATCCTTTTAGTATATGCAGAAAGAGAAATTTCAGAGTTACAAACTAGTAAAAATCAAAATTTTACATGATTTAGAAAATGACCAAGGTGGCAAACAAACCCCTTGCCTCCTTAACCAATCTTATTACTGGTTTAGAGAGTTAAAGAAATGCGTTGGCCAGGGATCGAACCCCGGACCACATGCGCGTAGTCGGCGAGCATTCTACCGCTTTACCGCCAACGCACAAGAAGTAACTGAAGATATCCACACTGTTGCCACATAAGGAAGGGATGTCGGAAATCCAACGCATGACTGGCATTGTAACCAACATGCCTACTTAGAGACAAGGTGCTTTATAGGTTAAAAGACTCTATCGATTTGATTAGATAAAAATAACTTTTCTATAAAAGTGTCTATGACATCGACTACGTAGATCAGTCCAACAGGTAAGGGTTAGTCAGGTCATCGGAATCATAGGAATGATTGACCTTGAAAAGATAACCAACCTACCTACCAAAACCTCATTAATTACAAGGTGCACACACAGTCGCACAATAGTTTGTTACATATCTAAAGTTCCAATAGGTAATAGAGTTAATTAGTTTGAGGAGCTGGTCACTGAATCTTTGTTCACACCGCATCTGCATCAGAAATGAAATGCAGTATCCACAATAAAGATATGTAGGACATTATTAACAAGAAAATCAAATCATAGGAAACTGTGGATTATATATATATTTTTAAAAATCTGAAAGTTCTATGAGTATGCTTATGTGATTTGGAGTAATAAACTGAGCTGGAAACATCATCAGTAAGACACTTTATCACTATGTGTTTTGTGTATCAAATAAAATTATTCTTTGATGGAAGCACACAACCTCTTGTCATTTAATGTTTCGACCAGATGTGTTTATATGTCGATACACCTAATTTAATGGTGACGTAATTCTGTTAAAAATCAAACTTTGCTGTAACGCACTGTAAGACACACTCATCGCATAATATACTTATCCTCAACATATATTTTAGAGTGTGTGTGTGTGTGTGAATGCACTGAGATAAGCCTAGACTGTCGTCTTTCTTACACAGCTTTCACTTCTTTTCTCTGTACTCTCAGGAATAAGCTTCGTTATCCCAGAATCGTAATAACTATCTAGACTAGTAGCATCCCTCGTAGAAGGTGATGACTTAAGAACAGATCCGACAGCATGAACAAAAAACCTGCAGAATCAAACGACTAGTTATCCAGTAACTCTTGGGTTCCAGTAATCCTCTGTAATGACGACAACAAATATGGGTTGCAATCTGAGATGAGTGAATTGGTAGAAAAACACATTTTTCTAGAAATTTTGCAGCAATTTTATTCTGCCACCGGTAGAAAAACCAGTTTTGTGCGCTTTCAAAAAAATGCTCTCTGCGATTCAAACCCGCATAACCCCGTTGCTGAAGTCAGAGACGTCACAATTGACTCATAACATTGGATACTCCCTGATGACAGTTAGTTGTTAGTTACAGCAAAAGGTCTTTAGCTACACTGTTTCTGAGTTATCCAATGACTTTAAGGTGTCAATGAGATTGTGAAGGCTGAATTTACCAGTTCTTAAGTGAAATTAGTTTTATTTTTGTGTTTGTCCAAATGTTTCTTGATATACAAGCAAACTTCGTTAGTTTCGGGATTTCATCATAAGCTAACATTAGTTAGAGAACCATTGGAAAACCTGGGAGTACTGGACAGCTGTCTCGTCCTGGTTGGAGACTCTTCAGCAGTACTCACCCACTGGGATTTAAACGCAGGACCTTCCGGTTACAAGGCGAGCTCGTATACCATTAAGCCACTGGGACCCGATCCAATGGTCCTTGAATTCTAACTTCTGCCAATTCACGATTGTGTCTAGGACTGTCAACACATTAAGTTTATAAGTTAGTATTAACACTCTGTAAATAAATTGCACAGAGTTTAACGAAGATATTTTTATTTACTTCAGCTTGTCCAATTCCTCTTGAAGTCGGTTATACTCATTTTGTAAATTCTCTCTTGATAATTTCACAGTTTCTAATTCATTGCACAATGTTCTGTTTTTCGATTCAACTGAATCAAGCTTCTGTTTCAATGATTTGTTTTCATCATTTCTCTGAAAGTAGTTAGTGATCGAAAATTTTGAAATTAATATAGCCCAGTATTCATATTACTCATTTGTATAAAGGATAGCACAGCATATACACCTTTAATAATTAACAGATTGATTCCAAACGCTACTTTTGATTTTAAAAAATGAAATTTTAAGCGTGTAATTAATCCTAACCGTCTTCAGCTACTCAAGGATTGACTTATTACCACCAGGTGATAATCTTGTTGACTTGCAATATCTGTCTGTCTGTCTGAATTTAACATAGAACTTGGCACCGAAGTGCACCAGTTCGACTTGACACGTTCCAAATAGCACACAAAGGTAGACAAGAAGATGAGTGAAGAGAATCAATAGAGTATGACAAGTATAAAAGTGAAACAGAATGAATAATGGTAGAAAGGAATATGAAAGATTACAGACACTGAATACATGTGCGCTGGCCATTGACAACGATTTTGAGCCATGTCACCTATTGTCTCCAGCCATTGATTCCTAGAGTCCTGAGGGCCCCAACCCGGAAGTCTGCATCTCCCTACCTGACTCAGTTTAACTGTCAAGGATTTATTTCATGGATTGATGGCATGTTTTTGTTTGGCCACCACTTACCCTTTTCCAACCTGCACCTATGTCAGCTAGTAATGCCCGTCGGGGGAGGCGATGGTTAGGCATGCACACCACGTGACCTAGCCGTCTCAATCTATGTAACTTTAAAGCCTCGTCGATTGATTTTCCCTCTTTCCCCAACACTCTACGCCTAACGTCAACATTACTTACCTTATTATACCACCTAACGTGAGAAAGAGATCGCAGACATCTATGATCGAAAACAGTCAACCTTTTCATGTCTTCAACTCGTATTGGCCATGTTTCAGAGCCATAGAGAAGGACGGAGCGAACTGCTGAGCAGTACACACGTCCCTTGGTTGATAACCGGATGTCACGCCTACGCCAGAGATGGTGTAAGTTAGCGAAAGCAGCTCGAGCTTTTTGGATCCGTGCTGAGATTTCGTGGTCAATCAGTCGGTTGGTGCTGATACAACTTCCCAAATAGGTGAAGTGGTCAACATGTTCTATCACTTCACTCCGTATCACTAAGCTAGGAGTTGACGTAGTCCAGTCCTGTAGCAGCATCTTACATTTTGTAGGGGCGAATCGCATGCCATACTTGGAATATGCAGATGATATAGTCCTCCCCGCTTTGTGGGGGAAACGCTGACAAAAAGGCAGAGTCTTCTGAACACCTTGAAGAGCAGCAATCATCGAATGTTTGGCATGAGATTCGTTCGTCCTGTCAAATGTAAGATGGCGCTACAGGGCTGCACTACATAGACTGCTAGCTTTGAAATCGAAAGTGAAGAGGTAGAGCGTGTCGACCGCTTCACTTATATGAGGAGTTGCATCAGCTAGAGTCAACAGGTAGATCGCTGACGAAATCTCAGCACAGATACAGAAGGCTAGTATCGCATATGCCAGTTTACGCCGCCTATGGCTTAGTAGACGTGATGTCCGGCTGGCTGAATGGCTGGCTAGCTGTCGACCAAGAGACGTGTGTACTGCTCAGAAGAAGTTCGCTCTGTCCTCCTTTATGGTTGACTGTGAGTCACTAGTGACCATTCAGAGTGGAAGACATGAAAAGCCTAGCTAGCTGTCTTTGATCATAGGTGTCTGAGTTCTCTCTCCCGTGTTAGTTGATAGCGGTAATAGAATGAGTAATATTGAGGTTAGGCATCAGTGGAGTGCTAGGTGAGGAGGGGAAATCAACAACAGACGAGGTTGTGAAATTACACTGATTAAGGTGGCTAGAACACGTGTTACGGATGCATTCCTAGCCACCCATTGACTTCCTAGACTACGCTCAATGTTAGCTGATATGGGATCGATGAGGTTGGAAAAGCGCTAGCACGTGGTGGTCAAGCTACAACATGGCTCCGTCAGTCAGTGAGATTCACAACAGTTAGTTTAAGCCATGCATGTAGGAAGATGTAGACCTCGTGGTTGGTGTCCTCGGGACGGTAAACACCGATGTCTGGAGACAATTATTAATATGGTTCGAAATCTGTTTTTACTTTCTTCTCTTGCTTTGTGTGTCCTAAGTGAAGTGTGGCGACTCGAACTGCTGCACATCGGTGCAAAGTTCTATGTTGAAACCAGTCAGTCAGTCAAACGTACATATGTATTATAACATAGATAGTCATTACCTCTTTGTAGTCTACTTGTGGTTTCGTAAATGGTTACTTAGTTCATCTTTTTTATTTTTGAACATTTCTATCACTGTAACTAGTTTCACACATATTATGTCTAATAATTTCAGAAGGTTTGACAATAACAACACCATGCCAAGATTAATTGTGGAAATGCACAGATAGATAGAGTCGACCCTCAGTGTCACACAGAAATAGGTCGTATTGGTTTAAATTCCTAACCAATTTAATAGTACACATATAGTCAATGACTTAGGGACTTAGATGCCCTTTAAACTTCCTGCTTTTCCTTCCGGTTCCTAGAGAAAAATAGTGTTTAAAGCTATTAGGTTTATCTGACTGTAGAGTTGTTTTTTTCTGGCGAGGCGTTGCAATCCTCATATCCAACTTTCATGTCACATTTCCAGGAATACTGCCGACAAGCAAACTACTCGAGGTTTAGGAGTGCGTCGATCGAGGATTGAACCTTGACCACCCGCATGACTGGCCGCCATTTTGGCTTTAAACTTTAGCCGTCACAAAATCCTTTAGAAAAGGCGTTTATTTGATGCAGAAATATGTGCAACTTACTCCATTATGGATAATATTTTTATTTTGATAGGTCACACGGTGTTACACAGTAATATTAACTGATGACGTCTGTAACACTGTGTGACTTAGCAAAATAAAATCTTATCCATAATGGAGTTATACTGCACCCCAGTGCCCAAGTTTTATACTTATATCTCAATGTTCAACTTACGTTTGTTGAAACTTCTGTAAGTTTGAATTCTTGATCTTTGTACTCCTTCTCTAATCTCTCAATAGTTTTGCATGCTTCTTTCCATTTGTTTTCCATATGATACAGTGACTCATTTAAATCATTTGTTCTATTTTTCAATTCTAATTCATGCTCCATTTGTATACGCGTTGCATCTATTGCTGCTCTACGTAATGCATCAGATCGAGCAGCTAATTCACCTTCAAGACGATTCACAGTCTCTTGTAATTGAGCTCTCTCAGTCTGTTTGTTTTTGAAATACCAGGAATGATACAAATACGGTGAATGGCAAAGCATAAACTTTACTAGATTTTCTAAACATAACCTAAATAGGGAAGAATTGGCAGTAGGCACCCACCAAAGGGGTTCGAATCCAGGACCTACCGTTTGCAGGGTCACAACTTCGCACTAGAGGTCCATCCAGTCGAGTGTGAAGATGGATTTCCCAACCACGACACTGGTCGGTAGTCGCCCTAAATCACGAATTAGTAGAAGTTGGAATTCGTGGGCCGTCGAATCGGGTTCCAGTGGCTGAATAGTATGCGAGCTTGCCTTGTAACCGGAAGGTCGTGGGTTCGAACGTGACTGGGTGTGTACTGCCGATGATTATCAAACTAGGATTAGACAGCTATCCAGTACACCCTGTTGGTTTTCGATGGTTCTCTAACTGATATCAACCGGTGGTCAAACTCGAAAAACCAGATATAATCCTTACAAACCAACTATTGAAAATAACCTAAATTCATTATAACCAGCGTTTACTGCCCATCAAATTCAGTACTTGAAGACACTATTATCCTCTCTGAGTCTTTGGAAACTGTTTGCATTAGAAAATCTTATTGAGAAGGGTGATTAAATGAGAAAGGTACTGAGAATAGTGAAAGGCGAAACTGCTTTTTAATCACATTTTATAGAATGTAAGCAATATGCGTCACTAAAAAATGACTTTGAAAATCACTTTAGCAACTGTAAACTAGTGTTCACAGTGTCTGCAAATGATGTTACTGAATATGTTTCGAAAAACAAACAATAATTTGTTGTCGTCACATATCTGAAACTTCAGTAGTTCTTATATGCTGTCTGTCCGTATCTACTCAAAGTCCTAAAAGTTTTTAAAATCCCTGTTTATATTTGCAACCTTCTTCTTATTGATTTCTTCTGAAAAAGTATGAAAATCATGATGTTGAATGTGATTCTCTTGTGTAACTAGTGGAACGCAGAGCTTCAAGCAAGAGCTTTGGAGTTTCGGCAGCAGTAGTGTTTATTTTCTACGGGATGGGGTTGCCTCATGCCCAATTTTCATCTTTACCAGTCTTATCACTGGCTTTGTGAAGTATAGGAGTGCCTCGTCGGTGGCCAGGGATTGAACCACAGACAACATGCATAGTTTGCGAGCATCCTACCACCGTCCCACAAATGCACTAATGTTGAAAGTAGGCCACTAAAAGTAAATATATAGTTCACGTAAATTTAACGAAGGCTATAAAATGATACTGGCGAGAATTTTTAGATTAGATGGTAACAGCTACACCTAGTTAATAATTCCAGTTGAGTAAGTGCTGTTCTGTTAGTTATTAGGACAGTCAAGGCCCTCAACTGAACTGCAATCGCTTATTTCATGAATAATCCCTATCCAAGCATTAATGAAAATAAAACACACATAGTTCAGCGAAGAGTCCTTTTTCGGCAAGTTCATTTTCTTAGCTGCACAATCGCAAATATATATATATATATATATGAGTTAAAAATGTCAGAAACACTGTTAGGTAATTCCTTTTCATCAACCGTTTGTGACAACTCATCACCTACCTTTGTTACTACCCTAGTTTCATTAACAACCAATTTTCTTGACCGTTTCTGTAATACATAAGTCTACCCAAAACTTACCGGTTTCCACCTGCTTAGTTAAAATAACCATAACCAATAGTAATTTTGCTTGATAAACTTAATGCGTACATACATACATACATACATACATACAAAATAACTTTTATATATATATATATATATATATATATATATATATATATTTGCGATCGTAAATCTAGGCAAATGAATTCGCCGAAAAGAGACTCTTCGCTGATCTACGTGTTTTGTTTTCATTAATCCCTTATTTATCAATGTAAAATAATTATACTATTTCCATATTAGATTGTTTATTAGATATATCACACACTGTGAGTGAAACAGTATTATTTACTGGATGACGCCTCGAACACTGTTTATCGTTCATAATCACATCAATTATACTTAATCAATTTTATGCCTTACTTTCTGTCTTGGAGAAGCTTTGAAACTTCTCAATTACCCTGATATATTAATCCGGAAGCATGTAGGAAAATATAAAAATAAAATTAATAATAATAGTAATAATACTGATAGGGGTAATAATAATAATGACATGCATGGTAAAAATGCACAGAGTAATGACAACACCAACAATAGGGAATATAAATTATTACTAGTACTTACATACACGTAAGGAACATCGATAACCTTACCTTACGCAGAATTCTTAACAATGCTGGCAGGAATAAAAGTGGTTGCTGGTATTCAAACCACCCAGCCACAAACTCAATTAGAAACAAGCTTTATCGGTTAAAGGATCAATCCTGACAGTGGAGCCTTTATTAAAACAAAACAATTTAGTTTATCTAATACCCTGCCTGACTGACTGCAATGATTGTCAGGTCAAATACACAGATGGGTCAAACTAGTAGAGCAGGGTCGGTCAGTGAGACAGACTAGTCAAGCATAAACACCTAGCAGCGAAATCTAGATTGGTTGACCCGAATAAGGTAAGAAATCTAGAGAATAGTTCAGTCGTAGATAACACTCACTGCATGCAACTACATGCCCACAATCATACGATAGGATGGATGGGATAGGATGACACAGGGTGGAGACAGCAGGATTGATAAGGGAAGCTTTGTTTATCGAGAGAGTGTGTGTGTGAGAGAGAAAACACGTGTAACAGAGTATGAACCAACACCTGTTCATCCGGGATTCTGCAAAAGTCTACTACCCCTACGACGACACACCTATACTAATAAGTCTGTTAGTCAATTTCAAAGGAAGACCTCAGCATAGATGACTTCGTTATTTTTTGAGAATAAATCACTAAAGCCGTACACTGCTGATATCTTTATTTTATGTATTATTAATGACCGACAGGTTAGACAACAAGAATACATGAGAATTATTCAAAGTGCTGAACTAGTGGAACGCTATTATTTTCTTTATAATTCAGAAAGTAACAAAAATAAATGATGGTGTCTGTGATAAGTTTATCCATTGTGCAATAGACAAATTAGTCATGATTGTGTATTTCAATGGTTGTTTACAAAAGTGATAAGTTTTTTTGTTTTGATTTTGTTAATATTTGGAGTAAAAGTGATGCGACAACACAAGGTGTCTAAAAGGTGACTCACCCCTAGGCAGGCGTCGGTGGCATAGCGGTTAGGACGCTCGTCGAACATGCACATGGTCCGGGGTTCAATCACCGGCCGACTCACTCCTTTACCTCGTTAAGCCAGAAATAATGTGCTGGTAAAGAAGAAATGTTGGGCATGAGGCTAGCAACCCCATCCTGTAAAAATTAAACACCACTGCTACGGAAATTTCAAGCCACTAGCTTGAGGCCCTATGTCCCACTGGGAACGTAAAGGAAAAAAAACACAGGGGGTATTTTTGCTCGAAGCATTAACAAAATCGTCAAAACTTATCATCATCGCGTTTTAATAACCATTGAAGTATTTTTTATTTCCTTCACGTTCCTCAGTGGAACATAGGGCTTCCAGCAGCTAGTGACTTGAAGTTTCTGTAGAAGTGGTGATTATTTTTACAGGATGGGGTTGCTAGACAGCCTCATGCCTAACCTTTCCTCTTTACCAGCATTATTTCTGGCTTGGCGAGGGATAAAGGAGTGCCTCGTCGGTGGCCGGGGATCGAACTCTGGACCATGTGCATGGTCGGCGAGCGTCCTAACCGCTATGCCACCGACGCACACCATTGAAGTATAAGAGCACAATTAATTAACACAAAAACAAACTGCCAGTGTTTTCCATGTGTATTCGTCAGCCCGTTCAGCCGATAAGTCTTCATTTTTCGGTCTCCAAAGTTCACAAAGCGTATTTTACCTTTATAATAGTCGGTGTAGTTTTTCCTCTCTCTGTGGATAAAATTAGCGCACTGAATATGAGTATTAATTGAATGGAAAATATAAAAGACACTACACGTATTATTACATGTATTGTCTATTATCGCCAAAGATCTTCCTGATTGCAGTAGACTGGATAATGCGAAAGACAGCTAGCGGCCAGTGAGGAAACAGGCATAAAATGGACTCACACAAAAATAGAACTTGGAGGATGTGGACTTCGCCGATGTGGCATATATGTCTGATTTCCCACAAACTGGAAGATATGCAAGTGGAAAGCAACAAGCTGGCACAAGAAGCATCCAGACAGGATAGGACTTCAAGTGAACATAGAGAAAACAGATGTAGGTGATGAGGATTCCTGCCCAACACCAAGAGAAACAACAACAACAGACGACAGTCAGCCTGCATAAATGGGAGGAACCTGAAAGAAACAACCTCCTTCACCTACCCACCCACCTACATGGTAAGCATCGTTTCAACTTCAGGCTGACGGAACTGACGAGGATATCAAAGCCAGAATCGGAAAAGCAAGACAACCTTTCATTACTCTTAAGTCTGTGTGGAGAACAACAGCACACTGCATCAAAAATAAGATCCGGATTCTCAACTCCAATGTGAAGGCAGTCAGTGCTACTATACGGATCAGAGACTTGGCCAGCGCGTCATGAAGAGCATCTCAAACAAACTTCAAACCTTCATTAACAGTTGTCTCCGCTCAATACCACTCAAGATCAGATGGCCGGCCAGAAAATATCAGCAACGGGGTGGGATCTATGGCAATGAGTGAACCAACCAACACAGCAGGAACCGACTGTGAAACAAATAGACAGGAAGAAATGGAGATGGATTGGCTGGCCATACGCTGAGGAAACCATGAATTGAGTGACATCACTAGACAAGTCATTTCTCGAGTGGAACCAGGCCGAAAGGGAAGCGGGTGGCGAGTTGGTCGTCAATGCATGGGTGAGGGTAACTTGGACGAGGTTATGTGAGGAGGAGATGAAAGCATGTGGGCAGACTTGGAGCGGAGTGAAAAAGTTGTCAGAAAACAGAAGGCAATGGAGACTTGGGCGGTTGAAGCTTTATGTTCCTCTTGGAACTAAAGGATATAATAATACATGTATTACTTTTTGTCTGACTTTATAAGATAGATATATAGATAAAGCAAAAAAATACATATAGGATTATGTATATACTAGATTATGGATATATTCAGTTACTCGTGTATTTGAATTGCTTAGGAACGGATCTTATCTGCCCATCAAACTATTAAACTTCTTCAGTGAAACAAAGAAAAAAAAGGATATACCCAAAATTCGTGTCCATCTAATTTGTGAAATGTAAAACAGTGAATATTTATAAGAGAGAAATCATAAAAATGACAAGAAGATATTGACCGCATGAATGTCCCTGAAATCATGGTTAATCAAAACATAAGACATAACACGGGAGAATTCCTTATCTGCACTTTGATTAGTCGTTGAATTTTACCCTGAATTAGCTTATTGTAACATACAAAAATTGGTTAACGCATCGTTTCTTTTGATAACTTCTCCGTAAACTTTGTAAAAATGTGTTATGCTAATTCGATGATTTTAAGACTTACTTTTGAAATCATATTCATTTTCTTATGCTCTGTGATTTGTTGTTTAAGATCTTTGACTAAATCTGTTAGCTGTGAGCATTGAACACGGTCAACTGAATTGTATTGGCTGTACTGTCCAACACATTTTGTCAGTTGACTTTCTCTTTCAAGAAGTCGAGATTCAAGACTTGATAAGGTGATCTCACATTGTTTAAGCTGAAATGATCGAGTGGAATAAACGGTTCCTTGAATTAAACAAGAAAATTCTGGCTAGGACGAAAATGATTATGAAAAACACTAATAAATTTTAACATGAATAGATGTGTAAATCGCTGTCAGGTGTCAATAAATACTGGAAACATTTATTTCCTCATGCGTATTTAAAACCAGCAACAAAGGTTAATAAAGCAGGATTTAATAAATTCATCAAATTTCGGTGGAACTCTTCCGCGTATTCTACACGTATTATTATTTCCTTTAATGCCTAGAGGAACATATGGCTTCAGCCGCCCAAGTCTCCATTGCCTTCTGATTTCTGCCAACTTTTTCACTCCGCTCCAAGTCTGCCCACATGCTTTCATCTCCTCTTCACATAACCTTCTCCAAGTCACCCTACCCTTGCACTCACGACCAACTCGCCACCCGCTTCCCTTTCGGCCTGGTTCCACTCGAGCAATGGCTTGTCTAGTGATGTCACTCACTTGATGGTTTCCTCAGCGTATGGTCATCCAATCCATCTCCATTTCTTCCTGCCTATTTGTTTCACAGTCGGTTCCTGCTGTGTTGGTTGGTTCGCTGATTGCCAGAGATCCCACCCTGTTGGTGATATTTTCTGGCCGGCCATCTGATCTTGAGTGGTATTGAGTGAAGATGACTGTTAATGAAGGTTTGAAGTTTGTTGGAGATGCTCTTCATGACGCACAGTGCAAGTCTCTGATCCGTATAGTGAGTAGCACTGACTGGCTTCACATTGGAGTTGAAAATCGGGATCTTATTTTTGATGGTGAGTGATGTTGACCTCCACACAGACTGAAGGGTAATGCAGGCTTTTCTTGCTTTCCCGATCCTTGCTTTGATATGTACATATAATATCGGAAATACATTGGGACATAAACTACATTGAATCGAATTATTCAAAACGACATATTTGAGTGTTATTCAGGTCATGTTCAAAAAGAGAAGGCTAAGGGTGTATAAGAGATTAAAATTAAGATAAAATACATTATACTTCAATTACACCACTTAACTGAACAATTAGTTATCAAGGGAAGAACTTAAATATATCAAGCAATCAGAACTGAAAAGTACTGATAGTAATAACTACATTATAAATAATATTTTATTTTGATAGATCACACAGTGTTATACAGCCATATTAACCGATGACCACGTTTCGAGCAAAATTTATCACTGCTCATAATCATATCAAGTCACTGACACAAGTATGTTAGATTTTAAAATAAAATGAATAGAAGAAGGTAAACTACGCACTAGCGTTTATAAAAAACCGACGCATTCTACTAATAGATATTTAGACTTTAATTCATCTCATCCGTCAACTGTCTGTGAAGGCAGACCTAATTAAGTTAAGTGTCTAACAAACCGAGCAGCAGCACTAAGTAGTACAAGAAAAGACCTGAATGATGAAATGAAACAAGTAGAAGAAGCGTTGCTATCAAATAGCTAACTACCCTATAAAATTTATTAGGAAGATTGAAAAAGGCCAAAAGCAAGATAAAAATAATTGTGAAACTCGCAATGATAACATAAATAAGAGAGAATATAAGTCATCAACTGTTATACCATATAAGGAGGGAGGGGACATCTGAAACCCTCCCTACGTAGGATTCTTAATAAAGCAGGAATTAGGCTGGTGGCATTCAAACCTAAAAACTCACTCAGATAGGACAAGCTCTGTAGGTTAAAGGACCCTGTCGGTTGACCCAATTACACAAAATAATATAATTTACAAAATACCTTACACTGACTGTGAGTTAGGTCAACTACATACACAGGACAAACTAGTAGATCGGGGGTAATCAGATTGTCGGAACATAAGAATTTAGCTAAGGTAAGAATGGTTGACCCCGAGAAGATGAGTAATTTGGAAAAAAGCTCAGCACTACATTGCACTGCATGCATGCATTAACACACAATCACAAAATAGCATGGTGGGAGAGGGTTAAAATTCTAAGAAGTAATCTAGGTAGGTGGAGAGAGAGAGAGAGAGGTTGATTACTGAATCCTGCCTGGTTCATCCAGTCTACACCCAACACATGCACAATCGAAATGACTCAATGCAAATACCAGAGATATGGAAGATATTATTACCATCAGTGATTCAGTCAGTCAGTCAGTCAGTGAAATCAGAGGAGGATAATAAATAATCTTAAATTGTATTCTATTTCAATTCAGTTCACGTACATCACAACATTCTAACAAGTTATTTATTTTAACTATAAAAACACTCGTCTAATTTCCCATCTGATTGTATTTGATGAATAACACTCATATTATTATTATTATTTCTGAATGAACATTGTCTCCTATATTACTGATTTGTATTCACATATCTAATCATCAATTCCACACATGTATATAAATGAAGGAAACAAGAAAGTTGTGTGAGTGAGTGAGTGGGTGAGTGACTTGATATGATTATGAGTGGCAATAGTTTGTGCTTGAAACTTGTGGTCATCAGTTAATATTACTGTATAAAACTACACTGTGAGACAGTTTATCAAAATAAAATCTTATCTATAATGGAGTTGTAGCAGACAGATTCATAGACAGGAATTTTCAACATGCTATTTATTATTTGCTCCGTGTAAAATGTAAAATGAAGCTACAGGACTGGTCTGCCGGATGATAAGCTGTTGTGGAGATATGTTTCACTCCAAGGAGTCTCGTTACTTCACGAAACAGCGTCGATTGGAATTGAACGCCTCAGTCGGATGTAATAGTAGTTGGTACACCGTAATTTGACACCCAACGGTCGAGAAAAACCAAAGCAACATTTTCTGCAGATATATCGTTTAGGAGGCATGTAATAGCCCATCGAGTAAACCTATTGATCGCTGTCAGGATATGTGTGTATAATATACTCTTGATGTTGGTAGTGGTCCTACAATGTCTATATGAACATGTTGAAATCTTTTTTCTTGTAAACCAAACGTCTTCGGCGTTGTAACAGTGTGGCGATGTACTTTTTTTGAGCATTGGCATTGGAGACATTCCCGTGCCCATCTCCGAATGTCAGAGTTCATTCTAGGCCACACGAAACGTTCGCTGATAAGTCTGACCGTAGCACGTACTCCAGAATGAGAAAGCGAATGTAAGTGTTGAAACAACGCTGTTCAGCATCTGAGAGGAACAAACCGAAGATTAGTGCCGGTAGATACATCGCAAACTATAGTTGCCTCTGATAAAGGAATAAGTACGTCCTTGAACTGTAAGGAAGAGTTTCCGCGACACTTTCAGGATAAGGAGTGAAATGGCTGTTTTGAGGAGTTGCATCAACTATAATGAACTAAACGCAGACGAAATCTGAGTTCGTGATATATATCCACACAATATGTGTGTTTGTTTGACAGTCTGTTATATTTTGCTATGTATATACGGATCGATATTCCATTACAATTAACAATCATGTTAAGACTGTCTATTGATTCGTTCATTTTGAACATCCGCTCATACACTTGTGTTCACACACTTGTTTGGACATTGATACTTTCTCACTCACACTCTTGTGTGACATTGATTTTTCCTTGTGTTTGAAAATACAAGTATCATCGTGAACCTGGTGGTTTTCTGATTTCCGCCTTCTTGCGTCAGGACTACTAGCTACTCGACCAGTACACAACAATAATTTGGCGACGGGTAAAACTCTAATAACTCACTCAACAGCAGTACATAACATAATTTGGCGAATGGGAAAATTATGGATTCTTCTAAATTGGAATTACTGCTTGTATGAAAAAGAGAAGACGTTCAGCGAAGAGACACTTTTAGGCGAATTCATTCACATAGCTGTACAATCGCATTTATATATAATTATTTGTGTGTGTGTGTGTGTACATGAGGTTTGTCAAAATTAGATAATTGAACAGGTAATACAAGAATGATCTGATATAGAAACAAGGTTAATTGGACAGCAACTAAAGTAAGATTGAGTTAGTAAGTTAGATGACGTAATACAATAGACTAAAATGTTTTAACTTAGGTCAGGGTAGCAACAGAGGTAATTACAGGTAGAGACTAAGTAGAAGTTGGGTAGATAATAATGCCATTTAAATTAGAAATGAAATTGAGCAATTACCTCTGTTGCTACCCTAACCTAAGTTAAAACATTTTAGTCAATTGTATTACGTCATCTAACTTACTAACTCAATCTTACTTTAGTTGCTGTCCAATTAACCTTGTTTCTATATTAGATCATTCTTTTATTATCTGACCAATTATCTAAACTTGACAAACCTCATGTATACACACACACACACACAAATAATTATATATAAATGCGATTGTACAGCTAGCTATGTGAATGAATTCGCCGAAAAGTGTCTATTCGCTGAACGTCTTCTCTTTTTCATATGACTAAATGGGGACTTTCAAGATAATTACTGCTTGAGCAACAAAGGAAATTGATAGAAATGCTCATCAACCAACAAACTGGTTCAGTTTCACCTTCAAGCAATCCGAATCATACCATGCTACCATCTGTCGATGGAATTGTAAATAGTATTACACAATTCAATTATGATCCAGATGCTAATGTTACTTTTGAGAAATGGTATCAACGATATGAGGATTTATTCACAGTTGATCTCGCCTCTGAAGTCGATGCTTGCAAGGTGCTTTAGAGTTGACGGAATTATCTTACACAGCCTCTAAATTATTCTCGCGTACCGAAAACAAAGCAAAAGCCAATAATTGATCGTCCAGACTTCGTGATATATTTCGGGACCAAAACAAGCCTTCAGACGAACGCTTAGCTAGCTAGTGATCGTGTACGTGACACGACGGAATACCAAATGGCGGGGATGCTTGTGATATGTATCCACATATATATATTTATGTGTGTGTGTGCATGTTGGTCTCTTTTTCTGTTTGCTCGGTTAGTCTGTGACCACTTCACTTGTATGGACTTGTCTCCTTTAATAATGTGTATTCTCCTTATATTATATTATATATAATATGAGTGTTTTGTTGACAGTCCGTTGC